GGGAAAGGGGGGAAATCAGGGGTTCTCTAAGTCTTCATAAAACAGCTTCTCTAAATATTTTAACTAGCTGCTGAGAAGACCTCCAGAATGATGTATTTTGCATTTTATTTCATCCCTACACTAAAAGTCATGCACTAAAGTATAGTAACAATATATGTGGGGCACAACTTCTTCCCTTTAGATGATCAAAAATCTCTTCTTAATCCTTTATTATTTGAAATTTTAAAAGCAGAGTTTTTTGGAAGAGTGTGTGTGTGTGTTGCTGAAAACAGCAACTTTACTCACACACTTACGTTTATGTAAGTGTATTTACATAAATACATTTATGTAGCTCCCTTACATATCATCAAAGGAGCTCCAACCATCTGGTATGTCTAGAGGACACTTCAGTGAGCAGAAATTAGAAGCCAGCATTCCAGTCATTTGAAATTTTCCACAAAGGGCCATGAAAGCCCCAACATGCCTTAAAGGGATAAGAGGATTAAAAAAATGTTTAAATCAATTGACATTCATTGTCAAATAGCCTACAAGAAAGTTCCACTAGCATTCTGCAATTGTATAGGATAAGAGAATATTTCTAATGATTACATTCCAGAAAGCTATATGTTTAGCAGCTGTTTTTCAGAGGGCTTATCAAGTTTTGCTATTGTTATTTAATCCAGGCATAACTGTATAACCTTAAACAAAGCTGTGGACCATTCAACTAATGATAAATTATCCTAACAGACCAGATTCTTGTGTTATTCTGTACATGAGTTTTTGCTTTATTAGGCATTTGGTACTCCAATTTTTATTTTAGAATACAGTGCACATGTAGAAAGGGAAAGAAACCCTGCTAAATTTGGGTGTTGGTAATTACGTCCATCAAATATACGTCATCTACAAAATGAAATTCAAAAACAGATGACAAAACTAGGATTCATGACTCTATTTTTACCAAGAGGAGAAAATAAGAACCACACAACCAGAATAATTCTTCAGAAGCACACTTTGTTATCAGGTATATAAGGAAGACAAATACATGGATAATTGAAGAGTTAATCAACAGTAAGATTGTGATCTAAATCTGATACTAATAAGAAACTAAGAGTTTATAAATACCTACCCTGACATTCCCCAAGAGAATGTGATTGATTATCACCTCAATGAGCTTTTTCTGACTGTCGTTAAAGGAAAAAAATGAGGCAAAGGGCAATAATAAATGGCAAACATGGTCCCTTAAAAAGAAGATAGGATCAGCCCATTTTTCTTCCCATGGAGAATGGGCTCAAGAAGAGGTTCAAATTGCACTGTGAGGTATTTCAGTAATACAGTTAAGTTTCCTGATAATGAGGAGTTTGCAACCCCGGAACTGCCCATTGGGAAAGAGTGCAAGAATGGCTTTCCTGAAATATGTAAAGAAATAAAGAGACTCTTGGGTGACGGTAATGCCCAAAGGCAGAAAGATGGATCAAATAAGTGACTTCCTTTAAGGCCCTTTCAGAAATGGTGCTCTTTTCTTTGAAGTTGAGAGGGGTTCTTTGTTTTGTCCTAAGGATCTATACTTGTATCAGACCATCCAAAGTCTGCCCTTAATTAAGGAGAAAAGAACTAATATTTGACTGCCTACTGTTTACTGAGCACTGTCCTTTCAATTTATCTTACCTAATTTTCACAATAATTCTGACAGGTATAATGAGTCTAGCTCATAGATGGGGAAACTGATGCTGAAGAGATTGTGCTTTGCATAAAGATACAGCTAATTCATGGCAGTACTAGGACTCCTCATATCTAACCTGGTGTTCCCCCTTCACACACCTCCCTACATCACTCCTTGAAGTGTTAAAGTTACAACCCATCAAGTATTCCATTAGGAACTAGGACACAACATCTCCAAAAATTCTGCTCTAATACAGGGGGAAAGTAAGAATTTGTCTCATATACCTAAGTAAGTCAATTAAAGAGGTGGCTAACTTTTGTGCTCTAACCTCTTATTTAAAGGAGTCAAAGAAAGTCTTACCCAAACTCAAGTGTTTCTCACCATACTGATGCAAGACCAATGACTTCTTATAAAGACTAATGAAAAGCCATCTATCAGCTTAACAGGGATGCAAGTTATTTTGCAGGTGGAATCATGTGGTCATAGGCTTTATTAGTAAGTGTTGCTTATAGTTATCTCTGATTTCTGAAAACCCATGTTTTGTTACTTTTTCTACATGAAGAAATTTGGCTTTGGTTCTATTAAAATAATTTGCAGAACATGTTTTTTCAAGAGAAACCAACTAACAAAATGTCATTTGAGATTCTACCATAATAGATCTTAGGGTCTTCTTTATGCCATTAACACACCAGTCCATCTCTAATGGAAGCTGCAAAACTTCATGTTGGTCCATTTATGGGATCTTTAACTGAAGATTCTGTTCTGCTAAAAACGCCTGGTCTGAAAATCCTGGATACCAGTTATTCACTAAACTGAGCATGTTTGGCAAGTAACAAAAACATAATTTCCATGATTTTATGTAACTTCTATTAAAATAATATCTTTTCTTCTAAGAGCCAGTTTGTGATTTGAACTGGACATCAGTGAATGGACTGACAAAGCAATTCCAGCCTAGGCCACAATGACAAGCCAGTCTCTTAGCCAAACAACATGTAACCAACCTCCTTCCAGGAGGATTGGCAGAACAGCAACACCTTTAAAAAAAACAAAAAACAAAAAAACCTACGTTAACTGTAGGTCAACAGATACTTAACTGAACATGTGAGAGGCAAAGTGCTACAACCTAAGTTAAAAGGTCATCCAGTCGAACCTCCAACCAATGCTGAGATCCTTTCCACATCATATAGAGTCTGTTTGATGGTTACTATTACCTAAGGCAGCTCCTTCCATGGTGAGCCACCTTTTTGAGAAAGTTCTCCCTGACACAGAGCCCAAATCTGTGGCCCTATGGCCTTTAATCAGTGGACCTCATTCCACCCCTTTGAACCAGAGTCTTGCTCTAATTCACTAATTGTATTCCTCTCTCTTTCCCAGGCTAAATCTCTCCAAATCCTTCAAATATTCTTCAGATGTCATAAATTTTAAATTCCTTCACCATCTTTGTTATGCTTCAATTTGTTTTTAATTTCAAAGGATAGCTCCAAAAGATGACTGTAACATTCCAACATCACAGGCTTAGGAAAGATGAAGTGTCATCTCTCTTGTTCCAAGGTCACTATATCGATGAAGTGTCATCTCTCTTGTTCCAAGGTCACTATATCAATTAGCTGTTTGAAGGCATGATAATTTCTTTTCAGTATGCTTTCTACCTAGTGTGATGAATGTAAGGGAAGGCACCTTTCCTTTTAAACACAAATACACTCATGGAACAGAAATGAAATTCAAAAAGAAGGAAGAGAAGAGAGCACATCCCCCTCTTATCCCAAAATTGGTGCTCAACCAGATTGCTTGTGTGGAGTACTGTTCGTCTGAACAATGAGATACACATCTTTTCACTGGTTTTGAATTTCTAGTTAAGTCTCAGAAGTAATATAGTTGCTTTTAACTGAAATTCGATGCTGAATCTGGAAGAATTATGGAATAGCCAAGAAGATAAATGAGGCAAATCATTGACCTAACACTGGAAGTCACCAGTGTCCTCCAAAGGTATCATTCATGAATAGAATCCAGTCCTCTGTTAAAATCTGCCTCCTCTCTCCAAAAAATCTAAATTGCTTAAAACAAATAATCCTAATCCAAATATATTATTTTGGCCAGTGGTTTTTACCCTTCTTTCAGAAATTGACACATTGCCAAATCAATCCATTTGACTTTCATTTCTAGTTACACTCTTGCCACTTTACTCAGGAAGATATGGTAACATGAAATGAGTAGAAAAGACAGGGAAAAAGAAAGGCCAGGGACGCTAATGGCCTAATCTAATCTGCAGAAAGGACAATTGGCCCTGCATAATCAAAATTAAATATAAATATAATAGAAATAACAAAAGCATATAAAGAAATAAAAAGCCTTGTATAGGTAAAGGAAAAAGCACAAAATCCTATGAGGATACAGTCTACACAAAGTCGTAATAAAATACCATTAATGTCAGCGAGCTATATGATTTCACAGATTCTCCCAAACCTGACTCTATAACATAAATATGATGCATTTTCATTGGAAATGGAAAAGTTTTGCCATATATTTAGTAACTTTTTAAAAGAAGAAAAAAATGGAAGCAGACACGGACTCAGTGTGAGGCAGATCAAGCCAAACTGAATTATGAGAAAGCAACTCTCTTTTTCATCCACCATGAAGTAAGAATTCATTTTTATTTAAGAAGGCTCATCTTAGCAAATGTTGCCATGGCAATAACCACCAGTAAGCAAACCGGTGAGTTTAGTTCCTGATCTAGGTTAAGATGACCACATTTAATTAGTATCCTTTCTCAAGTTCTATTTCAAAAATTTCCATGTGACCAGCAAAGCTCCACTCGGCACTAAGTCATTTATTCAACTAATATTTATGGAGCACCTACAATATGGTCAGGGATTGTTCTGAAACTAGAGATGTATCAGTAAATAAGTGTCCATAAGGCCTAATCTGGAATTCACACAGCTAAGGCGGGGAGAAAAGCCCTAAATTCCCATGTATCTCTGCTGATGGGCCACGGATGGGTGACTGTACCTTACAGAAAGGCTGCGAGGAGTAACAGTGAAGGAAGGGACCAAGAGCAGAACTTTCTAATCCCCTTAGGAGTATGGCCTATTCCCTAGGGCCCTAGGGAATAAGAATTTCAGAATGCAAGAGCGATTCTAGAAGCTGTTGTTCTATGACTAAATTTGTCCAACCTAACAGTCTACATTCACAAAGCAGCTTTAGTTTCAACATGCTTGCTGCTGTGGAGACAAAGTTAGGTCATGATATGGGATATTGGATTTTTGCCCTAAATGAAAGACAATAAATCTAAACCTATGGACATTTCCTCACAGTTTAAACAGAGAAGTTCTTCTTCCCACCTTGATCAACTTGTTTTCTGAAAACTTTTATAGCTGCTGGCTTAGTGGAGAAACAGGGAGGGAAAAGCAACAATTATTATAAATGATTTTGGTTGGTGTTTATTAAAATGATTTTTCTTTCCTGCAGAAACAGATTCAAAATAAAAGCAATTCAAACTACTAGGATCTCTTTCTCTCACCCATAGGATCAGAACAAACACAGTGAAGCCAACCAAAAGTATCAATCCCTTATACAATACGTATAATCTGTATACAAGAGATGAGTCACTCTGAAATCTGCTAGAGGAACACTGGAGATGCTTTATCGATATCGTGTCTTTATGCGCCTCATTTCTTTAAAATTAAACAGCTTTCAAACATCAACGTATCAGGACTGAGATTGCCACCATCTACAACAACAGAACTGCATATCCTGCCCTTATTCCATTATGCATCCCTCAGTGATACCAAGCGGCAAGCTACAGAAACATCCAACAGCATCAACAGCGTACAGGTTTAATTATTTCCCCAATTTGCATTTATATCAGTGAACAAATTGGAAGGCATCAAAGTATGGCACTAAAGAAATTAGTAACACGTATCCAGCAGCACATCTTCCATTTCGAGTCTTGTTTTAAAATTGGCTAAGTAAAGGCATATACACCTCCATCTGAATTGGAGATTTGCAGTAACACATGCATTTAAAGGGAGGGAGGAAAAGACAGGAAAGAATGGGGAGACAGGAGAGAAAGGAAAAGAAAAGGAAATAGGAAAGAATGTATGGTCGTGAGTCTGAGAGTAACATCACTACATGAAGGAGGTGACAAATGCCAGCTCCACCTGCTTCCACAAGCAGAATTTTTCTAAGGTTACTGAAGATACAAAAATGGTTCATGAGACTTTTCATCTGTTGCTATTGTCACTTGTCATACCAAAAACATGTACAAAATTCTAAGCCTTGGCCTGTCCAAGATGGATAGTACCAGGAAGTAAAAGATGTCACCTGCTATCAAGGACTGTGCTCTGCTTCGAACTCTGCATCACAGTCCATTCATCCACAGTATTTGGGTCAGATCAGGTCTGTTTTCTCGTACTACTCGTGATGTCTTAGAGCGAGTCTTTTATATTAGAATATCACCAGCCTTTTTCTTTTTCATTTTTCTAACATTTTCATTTACTTAAAGGGCTGGACAGATGAGAGAATAGAAGAAGAAAATAGTAGAGATTTAGAGGGGAAAGAATACGAAAGGAAAAGTATTTTATTTTCCAACAAATCCACCCCAGAAAAGATAGTAATGAGACTTTGAGAAAGAGTGTTGATTCATGGACTTCCCTTTTTTTTTTTTATTTCAATGTAATACATTTAAGGACATCAATGTACTAAAATGTTTGGTCTGTGAAAGAGTGGACTCATTAGCACCAAAAGGAGTCATGGAGCTTATATATATTATTAAACCAATGATGGTTACTGTTGGTCATGGGAAAAGGTTTCATTTCATTTTTACATCGCAAAGTTCTTGAAAGTGCCTGTGGACAAGAGAAATAACACTTTTCAACGTCTCCTTAGAGTCATCGACACACACCCCAGAGGCAGTACTTGGCCTCCCCAGTTTGGGTTTATCTGGTAGACAAGAAAGCCAGGGCCCCCAGAAGCCCTAAAGCACAGCCCCCACATGCACCCACTGACGTGCAGGAGGGATCTCCCTACGGTACATTTTCCCCTGGACTGTTCAGGAATGCGCTTTTACCTGCTTTTTAAAAAAAAAAAAAAGAACAAAAGCAACATGCTTTGCAGATCATGGAGCGCCTAGTGCAATTTTCTCCTTGCTCCAACTCCTGACTGCAAAAGGGTGAAACCATTATATGTTCTGCTAATGCTGGCCTGCGGACAAAGCCTCTGGGCTGCCATGCTTTGTAAGCCTGGATCCCACAGGAGTCAGAAGGTCTGAGAGCGGGAGCCATAGTCATCACCAGATCTCCCCCAGCAATTTGGGGGCCCATCGGGGCAGCTGCTGATTCCTTTCACTTCTCCTTGCCTCAGCCTTTAGTTGAAATTACAACAAGTCAAATAGCTGATGCTTTTCCCTTCTCCGGGTAAGGGCGAGGATACACTGTTCACAAGTGTGTTCTGCCTGGCTTCACTGATGAGGCGGCATGCTAAGTCAAGGAATAGTTTCTCCACGTTATCTGATTCCTTGGCTGAGGTCTCCAGGTAATACATGTCCTGAGCTTCTGAGAATTCTTCAGCTCTCTGCTGGGAGACCTCTCTCCTTTCAGCCAGATCAATCTTGTTTCCTAGAACAGGGATAAATCAAAGAAGGAAACATCACTGGACTTTGTACAGGCTCGGAAGCATCAAAATTCAATTTCATATCTGAAGTCAAATCAGACACATGAGCAAGTAAAGCAAAGCAAATGTGGCTGTGATTACTGGAATGTTTAAGATATCAATGCCATTTGTAATGGCAAAGAACTGGACACAACCCAAATGCCCCTCAGTTGGGCACTGCCTTGAATGAAGTATGGTACATCTGCGCAATGCAGTGATTTGCCTCGGTAAAAAGCAATGAGGAATGTCTCCACATACTGCCACGGAATGAGACATGAGGATATACTGTTAAGCAAATAAAGCAAAACAGATAAAAGGTATAGAACATACAACTGTCTAAGAAAAAGGGATTAAAAAAATACACACATGCACATTCACAAACTTTAATTTCTTGATGTGAGAATAAGCCAACATTTTAATTAAAAAAATAATCGTTACCCATGAAAGGAACAAGGTTGAGGAGATAGGGAGGGACAGAAACTCGACCTCTCTAAATATACCTTGTCCTAATAGATTTGACTTCAGAATCTTCTAAATGTTTCACATAATTATACAGTTACAACTATATAATTAATAGAAAATTAAATTTAAAAAGCAACCCCTACCAATGGAAAAGCAAAATGAAACAAATGAACCTGTTTATCATGAAATGGCATAACCACACAGAGAGGAACTATTCCAAGTAAGTTCAAGATCTAGGATTTTAACCATGCGTCCTCAGTGGTATATACTCTAAGGACAAAAAGACCTGAAAGAAAACATCTTGAACTGTTACAGTAATCATCCTGTCAGGGGCACTGTGAGAACTGTTATTCTAAGACTGCTCTGTGGGCTTTAGGGGATAAAGCAAATGAGTTAATTGTGCTAGTGTCACTGGGTCTGAGATTTGGGGCATGAGAAAAAGGAAATAGAGAATCTCGATTAATGAGGTTAAGTAAAATTTTTACAGTCCTGAATTATAAATGGAAATATCAGTGTGAATAATTCATGGTGGATTTTATCTTTAAAAATTTTTCTACCTCTGTTCTCCTGGAAACCTGACAAAAGTGGTACATCAACTGTGTACCTGGCAATACAGCTTATGGTAAAAGTGACCCCTGACTGATAAATTCCATCTGGCCTGGGAATTCTATGTATGAATTCTAAATTTCTAGTGGAAAGCCACAACTTTGGGCATCCCTGAGTGGGGGGACTCTTCACTTGAAGAGACTCTGAAAGTTAGGTCCATGGAGTTGTTACAAGAGAGACTGGTCCCTGCTAAGGCTTCTAGGTCACAGCAGGTCCATCAGGTGCCTGACATGAGCCTTTTTCCTTATACTGGAACTGGCCTGAAAGGTCCTGGACTGCTGTGTGGACTGCTATCGAGGATTACTTCCCCTGAAGAGGAATGTCTGATGCTGACCTGCGATGAAGCCGTATTTTCTGTCCTGTATTCATCTAAGGGAATGTCATGCCAAGTGTGGCCTATCGTAGTCTTGTCAGTCAAAGTGTTTGGTGGAAATTAATAGATAACTCCCTGTGGGCACTACAGAATTCACCACACACACACACACACACACACACTAGTTCTGTCCACTGAAAAGCCTAAAAGCAATGACCACTTACTAATAAGGAAGATTCTTATCACCTTAGTTGTGGTCTCTAAATATAACTTCACATTAATAATAAGCAGTGCTTCTCGAAGAAATGGCTAATTCCTGGTGTGGGACAAGAAACGCACAAGTTGTGCCTGGAACGCTTACACCAGAAAGCAAGCGATGGTCATTGTCAAAAGGTCATACCTAAAGGACTAGGAGACCATTTGAAGCAGCTCCACTCTCAGAGTTGGAACAATTGGACCATCAATGATAACAGTTGCAAGGGCCTAGAATATACTGAATATATTTAAATCTATAATAATATTCAAAGTATAAACAAATTTTAGTAGTTACTTCTGGAAGATACTAGGGAAAGAACTCATTTTAAAAAAGGGAATCAAGCATTTTTCTTGCTGTCCTATGAGAACTGTACCTCAGAATATCAACTAGGAAGTATATTTGCTAAAAGGAAAAACAAAAAAACTGAATCTGACCAGGCCTCTAAATTTACCTACAAATCTGCAAGGAACACAGGTGATGGAGGAATATGTCAAAGGATACTACGGTGGCAAAATAACAAAATACAGACTTGAAAACTCTGAAGGATAAACATATGCTTTAACAAATAAATTCCAAGGGAGAAAAAATGGAGGAATAACCTACAGGCAAAAGGAGAATTAAAAGACACAAAATCCAATGAGAACATATGAGCCTTATTTGGATCTTTGATTTGAACAAATATTTAAAAAATGTCTGAGTCAATCAAGGAACTCTGAACATTGTCTAAATTTTTGATGCTATTAAAGAACTTAATAATTTTTAGGTGTGTAAATGGATTTGTGGTTAGGTTCTATTTCTTCAAAAATCCTCTTTTGAAGATATACACTGAAATATAGAAAGATAAATTGATACAACATCTGGGATTTGCTTCAAAATAATCTGAAGGCAAGGGGAGACAACATAGAGGGGGAGCAGATAAAATAAGATTGGCCATGAACTGATAATTGTTGAAGCTGAGAGATGTGTACATGGGGGTTCATGATACCATTTTTTCTACTTTTGCTTGTGTTTGAAATTTTCCATAATAAAAAGATTTTTTTTTAAAGACAGTGCCTCTTTCATACTGAATGGACTAATTATCTCCCATCAAATCTCCATTTCACTTCCTTAGAATCCCAAGGAATAATGCTTTAATTCAAGTTCTCAGGGGCTTTCTGTGGAATAGAAAGAAAGCCCAAGTCCTGAGATAGGTGCTTTCAAGTGCTTCATGACATTCTCCAGTGTGCAAGAGGATTTTCAGGAGCGGGCATAGAGCATTAGCTCACAGAGAGGCAGATACTTAACCCAGCAGCCTGAAAGAAAAGTCCAGCAATTTGTTACAAAGCAGCACATTACAAGTGGACAAATACAATGTTTGGAGTTGATCTTACATGCTGTGCAAACTTGGGCAAAGAACTTCACCTCTCTGAGCCATGGTTTCCTCATATGTAAATTAGGAATCATTACACATAAATTTCCTAATATGATTCCTGGCACATGGGTGCTAGCTATAATGCTTACTATAAGTGTTTACTTAGCTTGCTGTTAACCATAATTTGTGACTTAACAATGTTTCTGAGATTCTTTACCTGGATTTCCAAAATTCAAGTCTTGCTAGAATATACAGCAATGTTCCTTTTTAGGAAGAAAACATTTTAACAGCCTTATGTTATTAACACTTTTCATCACACTAGAGGAGTTTTAAACAATCCAATCCTGTCACTGCAATCCCATTGTTAATGGGCATATTTGTCACCACAGAAAATCATGGGTTGTTTTCTGCTTTACCCCCTTACTAAACAGAGGTTCTACCCTCCGACAAGGTGAAACAAACTGCAGAATTTCCCTTAGTGGATTCTTTCTGAAGTTAGAATTTCTGAAGTCAGCATGAATGTAAGAAGAGAAGTCCATTTTTTTTAGGCAATAAGCAATTACTTTAAGAATAAAGTCTTTATTAACTTAAGAGATACGCTTTACTTCTAGACCAGCAGTTTCTGTGATTTTGTAACTAGATTTTTTGGGTAATGTTTATGTTTAGCAGCCCACAGAACTTTCATGGCAGTCCACCTTCTTCCCTAGAGCCTTCATTGACAGAAAAATCAATCAGCAATATTTTCTACTTTACTTTTCTAAACCATCGCCTTGGGATATGACCTATTTCATTTTCTCTTCAATTTCAGAAGAACTGAATGTTGATTTCATGAATTATATGGCTGTAGACTATGTTATTGGAAGGTACCAAGGCACAAGCACTATGTGATTATATAGCCCATCTCCGATGGCCACAAATCAATTTCCTTCCTCATTAGTCCTTACTTACCCACTAGCACAGTGATGACCTTGTTGCTGGCATATTGTTCTATCTCCCGCAGCCACTCAGGAAGGCAACGGAAGGATTCCTCACAGGTTATGTCATAGGTGAGGATCAAGGCATTGGCGCTTCGGTAATAACTCTGGGTAATGGACCGAAATCTTTCTTGACCTGCTGTGTCCCAGATCTGAAGCTGTAAAGGCGTAAGACAAAGATCAGGTTGGAGAAGCAGAAAAGAAAGCATTGCCTTGCTTTAGTTTAGAAATGGAAACACCTCGCTCAATTTCATGGTTATTTTCTGCCCTAAAAAACAAACAAACAAAAAATTTTTTTAATGCAGTAGGCATAACTGATTACGGAGAGGGGCTTGCTTTGTTTTTTGGGGTTTTTTCTTTATTATATTACCTAAGAATGTCTTTTATTCTTAAAAAAAAAAAAAACTTATTGTGAGGCGCGTGGGTGACTCAGTCAGTTAAGCAACTGCCTTCAGCTCAGGTTATGATCCCAGGGTCCTGGGATAGAGCCCTGCATTGGGCTCCCTGCTCAGCCAGGAGACTGCTTCTCCCTCTCTCCCCTTCCCCTCCTCCCTGGCTTGTGCTCTCTCTCTCTCAAATAAATAAATAAATGAATAAATGAATAAATAAAATATTTTTAAAAAACCTTACTGAGCATTAATTATGTGTCAAGCTCTAAGCATTTTACATGTAACGTACTCAGTGAAGTAGGTACTATAACTACATCCATTTCTCACACAAGGAAACTGAGGCACAGAGAGATTAATTAAGTTGCTCAATGTCCCAGAGCCAATTTAACCAGGCATTGTGGTCCCAGAGCTCGTGCTGGTAACCACAGTGACATATTACAAACGTCAGGATAAAGAGCAAGCTGTCATTCTGTGATTGCTGCCATTTCAGTCAGCAACTGGAGCACGAGAACATCCAACCTCAGCCACCTTTTCCAGTTCGAAATTCAAATGAATCTATTAAGATATTATCTTTGTTAATGAAAACAGGAACAATGCCGTGGCAGATAAAATAATTTCCCTCCACCACTTTTAAGCTCTGAGACCATGGGCAAGTCCCTTCATCTCTGGGTTTCAGTGGTTTCTCTATAAAAAGACATTAGTAATATCCAAGCCTACTGAAAGTTCACATTTTCTGAAGTCATCTACCAGTTCTAAGACCTAATAACTGATGGTTCTAATGATAAAGAAGAAAATAAAAAACACTTTTCCCCAGATTTCCCTGCACAGAGCAGAAGACTGCAGAGAGCCATACTCCAGAGCCTCCTGAGTGCAAAACAATGCAGAAGGCCTTGAGAAATAACATCAACAATAGTAAGAATGCTCCCTTCTAAACTGCATAAACATCATGTCACAAAATGCACTCACCCCATTAAGAGAACATCATTTCCTCAAGGAAAACCTTCTGGAACATTCAGATTAGGCCAGGTTCCCCATCCCTGCATTTTCTCTTCTGCAACCCACCCTGTAATTCTGCCTCATGGCACCTGACACACTTAAATCATTTATTTGTAATAATATGTTTGATAACGGTCTTTTTCACTAGACTGAAAGCTTCTTGTAGGGGAAGTGGTCCATTTTACTCACAGAATCCCCTGCACCAAATGAAGTGCCTGCCTGGCAGATAGTAGATGTTCAAATATTTATTGCGGGTCTCATTTAACCTTTACAACAACCCAGGGAGGTAGGCCAGTTTATGCCACCCCTCCGTCTCCTAACTGGCTACCCACAAGGCTGGGGCTCGGACTCCAGGCTTTCTATTCCCAGTTGAGGATGCATCCCACCACCATGCTGCCTTTGCCCCCAGAGCCTGATTTTAATAGACATCTGCATCCAAAGAGGATGAGTTAGTTGGTGTCACCCTCTGTTCATACCAGTTTAGCTGAGAAGACTAATGAGGGACCGGTGGTCCCTGTCCCCGAACAGTGGCACAAGGCTCTCCTTTGATCTGAAGTCGCAGCTGCTCTTTATGATGTACATGAAAGTCTGTGTGCTGAAGGCAACCATACAGATGTTACGGCTTTTACTGGGACAAAAGCTATTTCTCTGCTCTGCTTTAAACCTAGGGACATGGTTCCCCTCTGCCAGGATATGTCTTAGAACAACAGACTATTGTTTTCATACCACAGTGAGCCTTGAAAAACACTTGTTATTGAATTTAATACTGTCAATCATTAGAAATCACTATATCCTCATGATTGGCACATCTTGAGAACAGCTCTGAGGGTTAAAACCACTGAAATAGTTTTTAGAAGAGTGATTGTATGGCCCTGCCAAGATACAGGCTGATCTCTCCTAGGGGGCTGCCTGTTTCTAGCCTCATAGCTGAGTCTTAAGAATATCCATATTCGGGGCGCCTGGGTGGCTCAGTTGGTTGGGCGACTGCCTTCGGCTCAGGTCATGATCCTGGAGTCCCGGGATCGAGTCCCGCATCGGGCTCCCTGCTCAGTGGGGAGTCTGCTTCTCCCTCTGCCCCTACCCCCTCTCATTCTCTCTCTCTCTCTCAAAAGTAAATAAAATTAAAAAAAAAAAACTTAAAAAAAAGGAATATCCATATTCCACTGCTTTTATCGTTCAATTTGGTTTCACTATTTTCTCTGCAACTCATTCGCTCCTTTTCAGCGTTTATATGTCATTAATATATGCAGAGTGCTGTGCTAGGCACAGGGAGGATACGGAGATGAATACAACACAATTCCTGATCTCACAGAGCTCACCGTCTACAGGGAGATCAAACATAGTAAACTAACCATAATAAAAGAGGCGATGTTCTTGGAATAAAGACGTACCAGCAGGAGAGAGTGTCTCCTAGGTTTAATCTCATGCTGGTCAATATGTTCTCAATGCTGCAGCCACGGGCTTTCTAAGCGTCCTCTTCTTCAGCAGGGGCTACCTGTTCACCCACACCCTTTGTCTCACTGTCGCGATCATGCATTGCAGTCACAGGTACACTGGGGATACCTCTGTGCCAGACTGAGTCCTTTGAGGGCAAGGGCCGCCTCTTATTGAACCTTATAGTCCAGTGCCTTCCTAGCAGAGTACATGGTACATACTGGACACATGCAAGTAATGGCTAGCTGAAGGAAAAAGGGTAACAGAATCACAAAGAAAGGACTGAATAATTCTGCTTAAATGATTGACAGGCAGGATATTAAAGAAGGTTTCACAGATAAAATATTTGAGCTTGGTGACAGTGAGTTCCTAGTGGGCAAAATATTTTACCTAACACAGCGCTTGGCACGAGTCATGTACTATACCACAGGATGGATATATGGATGAATGGATGGACCGATGGTCAAATGAGTAAACACACGTGCATATGTTCAAGACTTCCTTATCTATGCATATATACTTGATTACAAAGACAGCCAGCAAATCTTCTATTCATATTACAAAGAATATCCTAAGGTTACAATGTTGTAGCCTGAGCTGAAAGTTTTACTTGTTTCTCATTTATTTATGATAGACTTAAAAAAATGGATAGGAGAAAATTCTACATCTGTTTTAATTGCATTTTGTACTCAAGGTCGTTTCAAAAGGCAGACCACATTAAGAGAAGGGCCTCAACTTTGCCTTTACTGACGTGGCACTAAGGCTTAACAGCCACAAGAATGTTTCTAATACCTTCGATTCCCTGCCTTCAATCCTGGAAGCCATCCTAAAAGGAACCAGACTGAAGAGGGGAGGCCAAGGTGGGCCGATGAGAAGTCAGGAGAGAGGCCTGGGGTGCACTGCTGCCTTGGCATTCACCAGGCAGGTGATCCTCCACAAACCACCAGCAGCTTCTCTTTCCCACTGACTCTGCAGGACTCTGAGAAAGCCCGCAAACTACTCGCAAAAAGAGACTTAAACATCACCGAGAAGAGGGATTCAGTCAATGTTAAAGAACAAGGACAACAATGAGACAACTGTGTCCCTAGTGAAGCTTGGGCAGCTCTGTCCTCTTCTACAGAAAGACTGAAGACGTTGCTCCTCACATGTCCACGTGTTGTGAGGCCCTTGGATTAATGGGGTCAAAGAGGGTCATTCTAAATCTTGGTTCCACATACATGGCTAGAAAGAAACTCAAGCAAATTAATTAGGACTCATTAATTTAGGAGATTAACCAACTCTTCCTGTTTAAAGATGAAGGTCCAGAGGCCTAAAGCGGTGAGAGGACAGGAACTGTGCTGTGGATGGGGAGAGGAGTGAGACACAAACCTGGTTCCTGAGGAGCCTGGGGTCTCACGGCAGCATTGGAGGCTGGGAAAAGATGGATTTTAGCTGAATGTAATAAGCGCTTAACAATGAGGTTATGGTTTGCGGAAAATGGAATAAATGTAATCCCTGAACCTGGGGATTCAGAAAAGAAAAATAAGCCTGTTCTTTAATGGCAGGGACCATTTTTAGTCACCCTTATTCATGCCCAGGGCCTGGCGTATAGGAGGCACTAACACTTGTGGTCAAAGGAATGAACTCACACAGACATGTGTCTATGACTAGGAAACCCAAACTTCTGGAAGCAAAATGCCTGCAACACTAGTTATCTTTACTCAACTCCTAGGGGTGGCGATCACCGCCACCCTGCTGGAATCATGGTTACAAGTGGCTCTCTCTGCCAATGCCTCCTGGATGCATGCACTCCTGTCTCCTTCTTACTCCCCCTCCCTAGCTCCTTCTCCCCACCTCAGTGCACTATTTTTCTGAGCTTTCTGGTTGGCATTGACATGGATTTCACACCCTGCTTTGTTTTCCAGCGCTCCTAGCTCTCCATTCACTATTGTATTTGGTGTGGATGTCTCTGCAGAAGGAACCACTTTGAGGAGTCAGGGCTGGAAGACACCCTGGGAGTGATTCTGTCCCCCACTCGGGAGCCTCACCCTACACACTTTTCGGTGTATCTCTGAAATGTGGCAAGAGCACACTGGAGCTTCCTGCCCTTCCCAAGGCATTTGAAGGCAGGAGTGCAGGTACATCCAGGAGAAGGATGCAAAAGACATGGATTTAAACTTGGGGTGCTTAGGTTGGGATCCAGCTAGAAATCCGATGCCACAGTTTTCATTGTGCTGCTGATCCCAGGGCCACTGCTTCTTCCCATGGGACTCAGCTCTGAAAGATCTGAGAGTGGAATTTCACTAACTCTGAGAGGCAGGTAGAGCACAGAGCCAAAGATCAGCCCCTCTCCCCTCCTTCCATGTAATTCAGTCTTTTCCATATTTCCTCCCAACACCTTCCTCCTGTCCTTGCTTCAAAGTGACAGGCCTCCTGTGCCTTCATCCCCCTCTTCTCTCCTGACAGGGGAGACCGCAGGGAGGAAGCGGATGCACCTGCTCCCAAAACTGGTTCAGATCCTGCCTACCTCCCTTCCTAACTGTGTAGCCATGGGTAGATAAGTGGCTCAATCTCTCTGAAACCTATAAAAGGAAGGTAACTTACCATTTACCTCACAGGGATTACAGTGAGGACTAAGTTAAATATGACAGCTCATACAAAAGCACCTAGCAGTGTGACTGACATATTAGGTGCTCAATAAACACTATCTCCCTTCTCCTGTTACCAGACATACCATGGTTCTTACAGGTACCAAACTGTCCAGAGGCTACAGGGGAAAGAGAGAGCTCATGGATCCTTCCTGGACCTCTCATTTAGGACCTCTCCCTTGTTACAAATAGGGGATACGGTGGGAGACACAATAATTCCAATAAGTGATCCATATGACCAAATGACCCATAATGAATGTGGGAATCAGTAGGCTCTTTCATGGGGCTACTGTTCTCAAGAGGTAGTACTGCTTATTGGCCCAACTCAGCAGTTCTTGAAAAGAAACTTCTTCCTTGTTTTTATATCACCTCTGACATGATAGGAGACAGGACCCACTTGCCTCAGATCTTCTCTGTCTTCCCATCAATAAATGCAACATCTACAAAGGGAATAAAAGAACTCTGTTCGGAAATAAGTCACCATGGCTGAATGCATTATTTTCAATGTGGGTTTCAATTAGGAGATTTAATAAGCGTTATGAAAACACTACTTCCTCTCAGCACAATGAAAGCCTTATTGAGCACTGAGCATCTTACCTTGACTTTTTCACCATTAATCTCCACCGTCTTAATCATAAAATCAACTCCAATCGTGGCTCCTTGTCCTGGGGGGAAAAGACCCTAAAGACGACATAAAGGAAAATAATTAAGCATATCTTTCAGTTAAATGAAATTCTCTCCCTTCTCCCTGCTCACTACACACCACCAGCCCCTTCCTGTGGCTGAGTTGAGATTTAGAGTCATGGGAGTCGTGTTGAATTTAATTTTGTATGTATGCTTTGAGGGGAGGAGGAAGGAGGGAGAAAGTAGGAGCGAGGAATGCTAAGAGAAGAAAGAGAGTGAAAGGGGGACGTGAAAGGGAGAGGAAGACAGAGGGTGAAGGGAGAGAACTGGGGAAGGGCGGGGGACCAATTTCAAAGACTGAAACAGAACTCAGACACAAGGGTAAGACTGAGGAGCATGAAGCCGCAGGGATGAGATCAGGATTGTTAGAAGAGGAGCAAAATGGATAGGTGCTCCCAGAGAGGTACAATCCAGGAAGATTAAAACTGGTTATGAGTCTAGGGCTTGGACAGCCATGGGAGTGGACCACTGACACGAACAAACAAGAACACGCTACAGGAAACAAGAGCGAGGCAGTGAAGCTTTCGAATTTCCCTCTGCTCTGAGGGTGAGAACTATTTCCCTCAGTGCAATGTACCACACATATGTAATTACATGAAATCGGGGCCCTTGACCCTGGGAAGATCATGGAAGAAAATAAAATCATTCGGGAGAAAGTCAAGTGGGAACAGCACTAAATCAGGAGGCTGGAGGATCTCTGTGTGGCCTCAGGCAAATCAGTCCCCCTCTCTGGGCCTCGAATTCAATGAGCATTTCAAAAGAAAACAAAAGAAAACAAAGCTGTACCTCAAACTGGATGCTGAGCTAGAAAGATAGGATTTTAGCAAGATTACATGTACAATGTAGGTTACTGGTATATAATATTTCCTGGAGGCTTAGGGAAAGACCTGGAGGTAGGAAGGAATTCTAATAAGGAAGAGTTCTTCACCTAGTTTCTATTCCCTCCTCACTGATATTCTAGAATTGCCAGAAATTAAAGTAAAATGGACTCTATTAGCTCTGGCGGCTAAGACTGGGGCATCTTTAAATAAGTCTGTTCCCTAACAAGAGAGTTCTTTAATTAAAGTTTGAACTTAAAAGACTGAGCTTCAAACCCACAGAAAATATTCCACTGCATGTCCGCAAAAGATGTAAATATAAACATTCATAACTGTACGTAAAAAAATATTGAATCAATTTTCCTCTATTTTGGTTTGGCTCGAACACAAGGCTGCCAAGTTTCGAGTTTATCACTCCAGCTGTTTTGCAGTCTAATAAATGCCAAAAAATAAAACAAATCCTTCCCAATGTCTCCCTCATCATTTTGTTCCCCAACTCCTCATGCCTCAAAAACAGCTGAATCCAATTCATTTTAACTGCCTGCAAAATAACAAAACCAAACATAATACTGTCTAGGGAATGTGACTTTTGGGGGGAGTTAAGGGGCTGGGAGGGGTAAAAAGTAGAAGAGAAAGGGGTGGTGTGCTTATTGGTAGAAATTAGTCTTCAAAAATGGAAGCATTTTTGTCATTTACCTTTAATGACAAAGTTTATTTTTTTAAAGAGAAAAGCCAGATTCCTATGGTCTCAGAGGTTAGGCCACCAAAAATAAAAATGATCAGGCTAAGGACCAGGAGACGTGGGTTCTAATCCTAGCCTCGCCACTAACAGGATGTGCGATGCTAAGAAGTCATTTTGTCCCTGTAGACCTCAATTTTGCATCTATATAACGGGAGGAGTAGACTGAGTAATCTCTAAGGGATCTTTCCTTAAATAATAAGACAAGGTCAAGGGAACTTTTGATAAAGAGACTAAAAACTCCTCCACGTCTCTGCAGGCTTGTCTTCCTGCCAAAAGCAGAAAAGATTACTGCTAGGTGGAAGTAAAACCAGCTGGAGTTTCCAGTATCACGGCATGGCGGCTGACTAAGAGTGGATGCCTGGTAGCTTCTTACTTTTGATTTCACCAGGCCCAGGCTTAGTAAAAAGCACAAGTTCTCTTCTGGGTTCGTTTACCCTGGGAAAAACCCTGGCATTTCCAAAGGTGACTCTCTGCCCTAAAGCGGCCTGTATTATCCTGTCCAGTTTTGCACAGAACCACAGACTGTCAGTGTTAGAAGTAGCCTTGCAGGTCACCAAGCCTCTCCTGTGTGGCAGGGAGGCAGGGAGGCCAGACAGGGGAGGGAATGGAACCCAGGTTCACAGGATGAGCCAGGGCAGGGGTGGGACCAGGACCCAAGTCTCCACACTCCAGCTAGTACTCTTTCCACAGCACCCGGCCGTCTTATGCCTTAGCGGGGCTAGTCTCAGCGTTCCCAACTAGCGCTTTATGAAAATGTAAGATGTATGCATGATAATCCTGAAAAGGATGCCATTCATATTTTTCCAGGGAAAACACAAAAGAAGGTCAACTTCAGAATGATTTCTCACTCATTTCTGTATAAAAACAGGCATATAATCTCTGGCAGTAATTCTCAAAAGGGCAGCCCCAAAGGGGACTTGTACTTAGATCATACGATAAGGGCTCAGTCCAGAGGGAACATTCAATTTCATCCAGATAGTCCTTCACTGTTCTTGTTTCATTCCCATTTAATAGACTTAAAAACATCAGCATATTTGGTTCTAAACCAGAATGACTCACTCAGCTGCCTAGGAGGATGTGAGAGGGCATAGGCAGGAAGTTTGATTGGTTTAATTTGTATTTGAGTTTCTTAAAAAAATTAGTATTTAGGTTTAGTCTGAAGTCCAGATTCATTTGCTAACACCTTTAGATTATTGACTGCTAATCTATTTTAATCTAATAATCTGTTTTTGATAGTATACACTGAAAGCAAAACCATTTGCTCCTTTCATAAAGGAAGCAACACAAGATGGGGGAGGCTTGGTGGTGAGCCCTAGAGCCAGACTCCCCCTGGAGACGGCTGAAAAAACTCTAGCTTAGGCTATAAAGCCAGCGCACTCCAAAGGGCACATTAAGAACCAGCAGCTGAGAGGCCAGCGCTGGGACCAGTCCTCCATTCTCTTACGCTCACCTAACCCCACAGGTTAGACTGAGAAACCCAGACCCGGACTTCCAAGGCCTCTTACCTGAGTGAATCGTCGGACTAGGCAAGTCTTTCCCACACCAGCATTGCCAATTAAAACAATTTTAAACAGGAAATCATAATCTTCCATACTCATTTACACAGCTGCAAGGCAAACACAGGCAAGAGTGAGATGGGGCCTGGTCAGACTTGCCCACAGCGCTCAAGCTGCACCGGCGTTGTCTCCTCAGGAACAACAGATCTGACTCATGTGAAGAGCAATTTAATGCTTCCCTCTGGTGATCTCGACACTGAGAGAGGAACACAGGTGTTTGGTCACAGACGAACTTTACTCCTTCCCAGTCACCTCATGCCACACAGAGTATATGACACAAATGTCCTTTCACCTGGTAACCTTTATTCTTCCAAGTCGTCAGGTCACTCCTGTGGTTAAGATCTGTGTTCTTTCAGCATGGAAAGGAGATTACATAGGGCCTATGTGCAGACAAGCTGGGGGTGCAAGGAAGCAGGAACAAAGGGGGAGCCCATCCAAAGCTTCAGGGCCGTTTATTTGTGTACAGTGTATGCCAAGGGACCGGGAGACTGAATGAAGGGGAAGGAACTAGGAAGAAACCTTTCAGTCCCCTGCAAGTCCTGGGCGTCTTGGGGTCCTAACGGTGGGAGTAATGGCCATCTTCCCCTTACCACCAGCCCACGGCTATACACCTTCTGCCAGCCAGGCTGACGCTGCAGCACCTCCCCAAGTGCCTGTCTGCTCATTCCTATGGGCTGTGGCATGTGTCACGTCCTCTGCCCAGGAGGCCCTCCCTCCCACCCCTTCTGTGCCACCAAGTCAATCCTGTAAGGCCCAATGCAAGCATCTCTTTCTCTCTGACTTTTCCACTGCTCTTCCCCAAATAAAGTGAAACACTCTCATCATTCCGCTGTCCTAAAACCTCAAAGGTCTGCCTCATCCTTGAGGGAAGGGATTATATTTTTCGGCTCTATTTTCCTAGCCCACACATGGGACAGTTATATTTAGCAAATGTGCACTCTGTAGAATTAGAGAGTTAATTAATAGGCCTACTGCTGAAGCGTAGGCCTTAGTTTCTCCAACTGTGCTAAAAAGAATACCACATGCTCTGTCTACCTCAGAGAACAGTTGTAAAGACTTTTTTAAAAACTGTACAAAAGAGCCTTGGTACCCACCAAGCTCCATCCTGGTGAAAACTATTATTATCTCTTGAGTACCTACTATAGTACTATGCTAATCGTGGTAGGAAATATGGAGATGAGCCAGTCTCTGCCCTGGAGACTAATGTGAGAAAAGCTAAACAACCACCACAAAGTTAAATACAATTCAAACCAGCAGTGAAGCTCATTTCGTAAGGTGCAGGCAGAACAAGCCCGTGGACTCTGGAGGAAGAGGAGGACAACCAGCGAGCCCAGGAGGGAAAGGGTGCTTGGGAGAGCTGGAAGAAGCCCCCAGGGTCACTCCTACCAGCAGAGCTGAAGCTCAAGTGACTGCAAGGTCACAGAATCGAAAGAAAGCCCAGCACATGGAGACCAGTCAAGTAGCTAGGGGAGCAGATCCCTATGTGGACAGATGATTTCTGTGTGGGTTTTAACTTATCCTTGGAAAGATGACTGACAACCAAGCCAAAATGCATGTGGCAGCTCATGGGGTTCTCTCTCAGTTCGCTGGGACTGTGAAGGAAAAACAGTTCTCAGTCAAGAATCTGGGGCCATAAGCAGGGTTGAGTTCACTAATATGCCAGGCACTATACTTGGCACCTTAGGGATATTTCCATTTGTTTTTATAAGTCTCTGAGGCTGGTATTTATTACTATGTTACCTAGTTTACAGGTAAGTAAACTGAGGGGAGCCTGAAGTCATAAAGCTAATAGCCAGGTGTCACCAAAAGAACTCTAGCCTTGGAGTTGGAGAAACCTAGATTCAAATCCTGGCACTACTATCTTCTAAGTCTATGCCTCTGGGTAAGGGAAAATTCTGGGGGGCCTCAACTTCCCCATCAACAAAATGGGGCTAATAACACCTTTATCACAGAGTTGTGATGCTTGAAGGGATTTCTGTCTCCCAAGGACAGTACCTGGTTCTTAGTCACCCAAACTCCTCAATATGACAGTGGTTTCCATGGTCTGGCTTCTGCCTTCACTCCCGGCACCTACCTCTCACCACTCTGCTCACACTCCGTGCTCTAGGCTCACTGGATTTCTTTAGTTCCTTAAATGCCATAGGGCAGCTTTCCCCTTCAGACTTTCACAAATACTGTTCCTTCTGCCCAGAACACAGGACACAACCTCCCCTCACCACCTCCAGCCCAGCTAACTTTGAGTTCTTTCAATTTCACTTAAACATCACTCTCTAGTATGCTTCTTTGACCTGGGAGGAGGCCAACCCCCTGCTATAAGCTCACATGATACCCTTCCCCATCCTATAGTCATACTCAGCATGTTTTACTGTACTTATTTATTGACAGCTGTCTTATGCTCCAAGTCCATCCCTCAGCACCTCCATCCTACACACACACACACACACACACGTGCATGACTGTAAGCAGCATGGAAGCAATGATGTGTCTATCTGGTTGAGTCCCCATCCTAACCCCTCCCCATTATAGTCACTGTCATCCTTGCCACTATCATCATCATCATCATCATCATCATCTCATTCTATATTATTAACTCATTTAATCCTCACAACACTCCTAACAGGCGGACACTATTAGCATCCTAATGTGATATATAGGGATACTGAGGCACAGGAGAAGTTAAATAAGAAGTCGTTAAGGTCCCACTTAACTGGTGGAGCTGAAATTCAAACGCACGTAGCCTAGGTCCAGCCCCGGTGGACGTCCTTGACACACTACCTGTGGTACCTCTCCCAATGCCTGGCTTGCGGCAGGAGCTTAAGAAAAGTCTGATGAATTGAATGATAAAGGGCAAGCACTCAATAAAATGTGATTTCCTTTTTCTCTTCCCCTCTGGCTTCACATCCAAAACTCTTTCCACCACACTGTAGTAGTGTAAATAAGAATCAAGGACAGATTCCGGATGAAAACTCAGGGACGTGGTATGTTAATTAAAATTCAAGAAAGCTGTTAAAAGTGAAAAGAAAATCAAACTCAGGGAAAGGGACAAGGATAAGCAGGAGGACGCGAGGCTCTGGGGGCCCCACATGGACCACAACTCACAGGTGTCGTTAGCCAGTGAACATGGGAAGCATAGGCCTGGACAGCATCCTTCTGTGCTTAGGCTGTTTGCCACACATTTACTCCTCCATCTTTGGCAGAAGTCAAAGACATAAAGCAGAGCATTCGGAGGAGAATGTCCAAAAAGAAAGGCCTGAGAAACAGGGCTCCTAAGCAGTTTACAGTGTCCGAATTCTGCACCTTCAGGAAAAGGGGAAGAGTTACTTGGTCCGAGTCCATGCTCACAGTCAGGTCTCATGTGGATAGCACCTGGAGAGAGAGAGAGCCACAGGAGACAAGTTAAGGCCCTCCTCCTTTCTCTAAGAAATTACTTTATAATGCTCTGTTGAATGTTTTGGGCTTGTTTGTTTCTGTGTGTGTGTGTGTGTGTGTGTGTGTGTGTGTGTGTGTGTGTGTGTTTAATAAACCTCTGCGGAAAATGTTTGGTCTCTTTAAAAATGCAGGCCGTCTGTGACTAAGGCTGGACTGTAAACTCTGGGTTACCTGTGGTGGTTACTGTTCTGTTTCTAATAGGAAACACATGGCTCAGTGAAAAGCTCACAAGATTCTCTGAAAACTATGCTCTGAGGAAGCCCTTCTGATCGGGAAGTAAGGTAACAGCTCAGGCATCACCAATAACCATGGGATAAGACAGCATCCCAGGAGGGGGAAACCATTCAGAATCAGCTAGTGACACGCTAAATTGACAACAAAAGTCACACCTTGTCTGGGGAGCAAACATGTCATAAGATATGCTACTGACCAAGTACTATTCTAGGGATTTTATATTCCATCATTGTTAATAATAGTAATCACTGACACTTATTCAATGCTTATAATGTGCCAGGCACTCTTCTGCACGTACTCATTTAATTCTCAACAACAACCCTATGGGGTAGGTATTATTACCATCATCATCCCCAGCTTACAGAAGAGGAAACTGAGGCACAGAGAGGTTATCCTGAAGTCACACAGCTAGTTAGTCTTAGGACCAGGATTCGAACCCAGATCCGTCTGACTCCAAAGCCTGGCTCCTCCTGAAATAGGCTGCTACTGTCCCCTGCCCGATGGTAGTCAGTACTGCTGTACCTGTCTTAAGAGCTGGAGGCACAGTTGAATGGAACCCCCCCAGCCCCTGTGAGCTGCAATATTCTAGAATCTCCCTCCTCATGAAGCAGCATACCCGCACTGATAGGGCCACACACTGATTCCAGATCATACAAGCACTGCTCCTCATTGTGCCCTCCAAGCCCAGGTCTCTTTTAGGAGCTGGACACTGACTTTCCCCCAAATACCACTCCCATAATTCATTCATTCATGTAACTAAGTACTGGGCCCAAGGTCAATAAACAGGAAGACTACTCAGATGAACCAGCAAAACCCCAAATTTCAGAATTACCACAATAGCTCAAAATAAATGGACATATGAATACAATTCAAAAAAGGAAAAATAGATGAGGAAAAGAAAAGACTGAGTTTAGGGGGGCACCTGGGTGGCTCAGTTGGTTAAGCGTCCAACTCTTGGTTTTGGCTCAGGTCATGATCTCAAGGTCTGGAGATGAAGCCCTGCGTTGGGCTTGGCACTGGGCATGGAGCCTGCTTGGGATTCTCTCTCTCCCTCTCCCTCAGCCCCTCCCTCCCCTAAAAAAAAAAAAAAAGAAACGAAAAAGAAAAAAATGAGTTTAGAAAAGATATAGGAAAGAAGATATACTATGAAAAGAAAAAAAATTCTAAAACAATGTGATTTTTGCAACATAAACCATTTATCAAAGTGACCTTTTTAAAAAAATGACACTGTATTCACTGTTGCACATCAGTACACTTTTCCCCTCACCGTTCAGGGCTCAGTATAACAGATAAAGTCAAGGATTCTGGCGAACAGAGGCCCGATCCCCTCCCCTAGCCCTGCTCCAGAAAATTATATTCTGGGGACTTGTCCTTGTTCAAAAACCAT